AGCTGCAAAGAAGAGGACTCCAAGGAGACCCAAGCCAAGATACATTATAATTCAAGCATCATAAGTTAAAGACAAAGAGAGGATTTTTAAAACTGCAAGAGAAAAATGAGTTGTTACATTCAAGGGAATGCCTGTAAGACCATTAGCAGATTCTTTTTTAGCAGAAATTCACAGGCCAGAAGGGAGTTTCATGCTATATTCAAAGTGCTAAAAGAAAAAAACTGCCAACCAGAATACTCTATCCAAAAAAGTTGTCCTTCAAAAATGAAAGAGTTTTCCAGAGGAAAAAAAGGTGAAGGAGTGTAGCCCTAGACTGGCTTTATAATGTTGAAGGGCACTTGTGCACGCTCTTTCTCTCAAATGAATAAAATCTTTAAAAAAATGTTAAAGGGACTGCTTAAAGTTGAAACAAAAGGGCACAAATAACTGGAAAACATGAAAGTATAAATCTCACTGGTAATGGTAAATATATAGGTAAATTCAGAGTAATCTAATGTTGTAATGGTGATGGGTTAATCACCTATAAATTTAGTATGAGGGATAAAAAAATCAAATATTGGGGCACCTGGGTGGCTCAGTCAGTTAAGCATCCAACTCTAGGTTTCAGCTCAGGTCATGATCTCATGGTCATGAGATTCAAGCCCCATGTCAGGCTCCATGCTTAGCACGGAGTCTGCTTAAGACCCTCTCCCTCTCCCTTTGCCCCTCCCCCACACTCACACGCTCTAAAAACAAACGAGTAAAAAAAATACCAGTGTAGTAAAAATGACTGTTACTACAATAATTTGTTAATGGATACACTAGATGTAGATTATGACATCAATAACAAAATGTGGGGGTGAAGGTCAAAATGCAGAGGTTTAGAATCCATGTCAACTTGAGTTAATAACAACTTAGAATAAACCGTTACAAATGTAAGATGCCTTATGTGAGCCTCATGGTAACCACAAAGCAAAAACCCACAGGAGATACACAAAAGATAAAAAGTAAGACACCTAGGCACACTACTCCAGAAAAGCATCATATCACAAAGGGAGAGAACATAAGAAGAAAGGAACAAAGGAATTCCAAAACAACCACCAATGTACAAAACAGCAGTAAGTCCATACCTATTAATAATTAAATGTCTGAAGACTAAATTTTCTAATCTAAAGACATAGAGTAGCTGATGAGATTAAGGAAAAAAAAGGAAAGACCCAACTTTGTGCTGCTTACAGGAGACCCACTTCAGCATCAAGGACACACACAGGCTAAGAGGGAAAGGATGGACAAAGATACTCCATGTAAATACGTGTATCAGACCAAGCAGACTTTACAACAAAGACTGTAGTAAGAGACAAAGAAGGTCATTACATAATGATAAAGGGGTCAATCCAACCAGAGGATGTAATATTCGTATATATTTATGCACCCAACATAGGAACACCTAAATATATAAGCAAAAATTAACAGACCTAAAGGGAGAAATACACAGCAATACAGTAGTAGTCGGGGACTTTAATAACCCACTTTCACCAATGGCTAGATCATATAGACAGAAAACCAATAAGGAAACTTTGGGCTTACACAGATATTAACAGAACATTCCATCCAAAAGCAAGGGAATACACATTCTTTTCATGTGTACATGTAACATTCTCCAGGACAGATCATATGTTAGTTGACAAAGCAAGTCTTAATAAATTTAAGAAGACTGAAATCATATCAAGCATCTTTCCTAACCACAGGGTATTAAAGTAGTTATCAGTTATCAAAAGGAAACTGGAAAATTCTCAAATGTGTTTAGATGAAACAACATAGAAAATCCCGAAAGACTCATTACTAGCAGGAAGATGAATCAGTCATCAAAAACCTCACAACAAACAAGAGTCCAGGACCAGATGACTTCAAAGGTGAATTCTACCAAACACTTGAAGAAAATTCATACCAATCCTTCTTCAACTCTTCCAAAAAATAAAAGAGGGAATACTTCCAAACTCATTTTACAAGGCCAGCATTAGCCGGATACAAAAACCATACAAGGACACCGCAAGAGAAACCAGCTATAGACCAATATCCCTCATGAAGATAGATGTAAAAATTCACACCAAAATAGCAGCAAACCCAATTCAGTAATACACTGAAAGGATCATACACCAGGATCATGTGGGATTTATTCCAGGGATGCAACAATGGTTCACCATCCACAGATCAATGTGATAGGCCACATTAACAAAATGAATGATACAAACCATATGACCATCTCAACAGATGAAAAAATATACTGACAAAATTCAACAACCATTTATGATAAAAACTCTAAAGAGAAGTTGGTATCTACAGAACATACCTCAGCATAATAAAGGCCATATCAGATGAGTAAACAGCTAATATCATATTCAGTGTTAAAAAAAAAAAAAGAGAAAGCTTTTCCTCAAAGATCAGAACATGACTAGGATGTCCACTCTCACTACTTTTATTCAACATAGTATTGAAAATCCCAGGCAGAACAGTTAGGTAAGAAGAAGAAATTAAAGGCATCCAAATCAGAAAGGAAGAAGTGAAACTGTTTCCATTTGCAGATGACATATTATACAGAGAGAACACTAAAAAAACCAAACAAACAAAAAACTAAAAAGCCCACCAAAAACTACAGAATAAACAAATTTGGTAAAGTTGCAAGATATAAAATCAATGCACAAAAATCTGTTGTGTTTCCATACCATAGACTAGTAATGAAGTAGTTAAAAGAGCTATTAAGGAAACAATCCCACTGACAAGAAATAACAAGTGTTGGCAAGGACGTGAAGGGTACCCATGGGCACTGTTGGTGGGAGTGTCCATCTATGCAGCCACTACAGAAAACAGTATGGACGGTTCTCAAATCTTTAAAAATAGAACTACCTTGTGATCTTACAACTCTACTTTTGGCTATTTATCTGAAGAAAACGAAAACACAAACTTAAAAAGAAATCTGCACCCCCATATATGCAACCCTAGGTTTACTGTAGCATTATTTACAATAGTCAAGAAACGGAAACAACCGAAGTGTCCTTCAATAGATGAATGGATAAAAAAAATGATGCAGTGTATATATATATACACACACACACACACACACACTGAAATACTATTCACCCATAAAAAAAGATAATGAAATCCCGCCATTTGTGACAACATGGATGAACCTTGAGGGCATTATACTGAACGAAGTAAGTCACACAGAAAAGGACAAATACCATATGAATCACTTATATGTGGAATCGAAAAAACGCACATGTGCTCATAGATACAAAGATTAGATACACAGAACAGATTGGTGGTTGTGGGGCCAGAGAGTGGGTGAAGAGGACCAAATTTTCAGTTATAAAATAAATAAGTTGCAGGGATGTGATATATAGCATAGTGACTATAGTTAATAATACTGTATTGCATATTTGAAATTGATAAGAAGTCAATCTTAAAAATTTTTTCCTTGTGATGAAAACTTTGAACTCTGTAGGGCAACAGATGTTAACAACACTCACTGTGGTGATCATTTTGCAATATACACAAATATCAAATAATCACGCTGTATACCTGAAATATGATGTTATGTCACTTGATCTTAGCCAAAAGGCCGAGAAGCGATATATGATGTTATATGTCAATTATACCTCAATTAGAACATCATCATCATGAATTCTCAAAAAGAATCCCATTTATAATTCCATGAAAAGAATAAAATACTTAGGAATAAATTTAACCCAGGAGGTGAAAGATCTGTACACTGAAAGCTGTAAGACATTTATGAAAGATAGTGAAGAAGACACCAATAAATGGAAAGATATTTTATGCTCTTGGATTGGAAAAACTAATATTGTTAAAATATCCATACTACCCAAAGAAATCCACAGATTTGACACAATTAAATTCCAATGACATTTTCACAGAAATCTAACAGTCCTAAAATTTATATGGAACCACAGAAAGCCCTGAATAGTCAAAGCAATCTTGGGAAAGAACAACAAAGCTGGAGGCATCATGCGCCACGGTTCAAACTATATTATGAAGATATAGTAATCAAAACGGTATGGAACTGGCATAAAAATGAACACATAGATCAATGGAGCTGAACAGAGCGCTCAGAAATAAGCCCATGCGTATATGGTCATTTACAACAAAGGAGCCAAGAACATACAGTGGGCAAAGGATAGTCTCCAGCAAATGGTGCTGGGAAAACAGGACAGCCATAAGCAAAAGACTGAAATTGGCCTATTATCCTATACCATAAAAATCAACTCAAAATGGATTAAAGATTTAAATGTAAGGCCTGAAACCATAAAGTTCCTAGAAGAAAATACAGGGGGATCATCTCCTTGGCCTAGGTCTCAGCCGTAATTTTTTGGATTTAACACCAAAAAGCAAAGGCAACAAAAGCAAAAATAAACAAGTGGGTCTAAATCAAACTAAAAATCCTCTGCACAGCAAAGGAACCCATTAATAAAATAAAAAGGCAACCTATGGAATGGGAGAAAATATTTGCGAATTATACATCTGATAAGAGGTTAATATCCAAAATATATAAAGAACTCATACAACTCAATGGCCAAACAACAACAACAACATTTTAAAACTGGCAGAACATCTACACAGACATTTTTCCAAAGATGCCATACAGATGGTCAACACATACATGAAAAGGTACTGAACATCACTAATCATCAGGGAAATGCAAATCAGAATCACAAAGGTGTATCACCTCACACCTGTTAGAGTATTACCAAAAAGACAAGCAGTTGGGCTGGGGCCGAAAGACCCTGTTCCTCAAGGGACGGGTTTGAGGAAGAGGTGGGATGGTCTCCTGGGAGGAATTCCAGGCACCTCAGACACCTCCCTGCTGCCAGGAGAAACGACTGGCCCCTAGAATAATGCGACAGTGCCTTTGGGTTGCTGTTGGCCTTTGCGTGGGGACAGTTCTTCATCACACACGACTCTCCCTCACTTTGCCGTCCTCCCGGCATTGGGATGACAAAGTCCCCTCCACCCATTTCCCGGTGCCTCCTAGGAAAATGGCCGAGGACTACCGGGTCTCTTTCCCACCCGAATACCGGCTGTGTTCTTTGCCAAGTCTCCCTCACTGGCAGCCTCCAGCTCTTAGATTTTAAGGCTGTTAGTTCTTGCGGACTTTGCCTCTTTTGTCCAACCCTCTAGTCCCTTTTCCCTCAGGTAATTTATTGACGCCATCGCAGATGGAAACACTGCCCATCTGAGAAAAAGCCAGGAAACAAAGCGACTTTCCAAGGGTGGAGAAAGAAGTTACCCCAGGTAGCGTCTGACCTGGGCGCATGTGCGGCTTATAGCTGCTCACAGTGCCTACCGCGTGCCCCGGGCGCTTTCCCTCTGGTCTTCAGGGCCACGCCAGGCACCCCCCAGCTTCTGGCAGTACTGGCTGCTGGCGGCTCAAGCGGCGGCCCCCTCTGGGCACTGCCTACAGCCACAGAGAACCGCCTTGTGCAAGTACCTCCGCCTCTCACGACGCAACAGGGGGGCCAAGAACTGGCTGATGGAATCATACAGACACCTGGTCCCCTGGCCTCGTTTTGGGACAGCGCTGAAAGGCCATCCCAGCTCCAGAGCCCCCTGTGGGACGGGCCGAGGCCTCAGTGGCAGCCACACCACCGGGGGAGCTCCCCGGCCCCACCTGCCCCCCTCATTGTCTTCACGTGTCTCTCCCACCAGCGCGCCCGGTCAACCTTCCACCTGGGACCGATCCCAGGAAACCTCCTGCAGGTGAGCGCTCCCTCTGCAGAAAACACTCCATCTCAGGAGGCCAGGGAGTGCGTCCAAAACGCTGCCCTTAGTTTTACTGGGAAACAGAGTTGCAAACCAAGAGAAGAGTAACTTACGCTGTTCTGGCTGTCTCTCCAGCCTGCTGCCCGCTGGGCCCCGACTGTCCCTTCCTCTGCTCCAAACCCTCAGCCTTGCCTTCTCCACACGTTCATGTTCGTGTCCACTCACGTTCTGCACAGCAGTATCCTTTCCTTCCCCCCGCACTGAGCGGAATCACCCTCCTCCCCCAGAGCTGACTCCCGCGTGGTTGCTCCCACCACAAAGCTTCTGCGTGATGTGCCTGGACGTGCGCTCCTGTTTGCACAATCTGTCCCCCTGTGGTATGGCCCCGGGCTTGCTCCTTGAACCTCTTGTCTTTAATGTGGAATGCTAGCTCGGGGGTCTCATTCAGTCTCAGGGCTATAAATACCTTCAGTGTGATGATGACTCCGGGGTCGGTGTCTCCAGCCGGTACTTCGTTCCCGAACTCCATATTTGTAGATCTGGCTGCGTCCTCAACATCTCTCCCTGGAGGTCTGATGGTCTTCTCCACCTTACCATGTCTGAGACTGAGCTCCCGATGCACCCACCACAACCACCTCCCTGCCACCATCTAAAACGTTCTCGACCCCAGCCCTTAACGGCAACTCCAGCCTTCCAGGTGCTCAGGCCAAGGAGCACTATCATCTGTGACTCCTTTCTTACTCACATCAACAAATTCCGAGGGCCCTCCCTTCAAAATATATCTAGAATCTGGTCACCTCTCTGCACGTCTGCTTCTACTCCCCTGGCCTGAGAAGTCCTAATCACACTGCTGGATCACTACAATAGTCTTCAGCTGGTCTCCCAGCGGCCACCTGCCCTCCTTCATGCTCGCCTTCACACAGAGTGATCCTGTTAAGGCATAATCAGATCGGGCCTGTTTGGGGCTCAAAACTCACCCACGGCTCCCCGTCCTAGACTAAAAGCCAAAGTCCTTCTAGCCTCCTCAAGGTTCTAACACAATCTGACCTGCACCTCTCTCCCCAGCCCGGCTACCTGTCCCTTTGTCCGCTCTGCTACATGCATCTTATGGCCGCCTTACTGTTTCTGAAACACATCAGCCAGTTCTGACCTTAGGGCCTTTGTACGGACTGTTTGCTCTGCAACACCCCCCCCCCATGCCTGTTTTGCTGGCTTCCTCGCCTCCTAGAGGTCTTTACTCAAAATTCACGTTGTTGAAACAAATGTCTGGGCCTAAGATGGAGCCACTTCTGTCCGGGTGCCACGTCAGCAAACCGAGACTTAGACTAAGTGTCGTGTCCCTTTAAATGCTTGACTTGGCCAGAAACAGTATATCCAGTCAGCCAATCCCCACCTACCAAGCCAACTCCGGGCTCTGTACCTATTTCCTTGTTCTCTACTCTTTATCCTATAAAAGCTTCCTGCCTTCCTCTCCGCTCTGCAGTTCTCTGGACCCTTGGAAATGGAGGCTGCCCATTTCATAAAATATAAGGGTTTGTTTGTATCACCTGAATTGTCTTCTTTAATCAGTTTTTCACAGCCTTCTCTGTCAAACCTCTCCTAGATACTAGTTGAACTGCAACCCCAAACTCTATCTTTGCACTTCCCCAGTTCATGTGGCTACATCACATTGATTATCAGCTGGCATAATATAATTCTTGATTTACATATTTTGTGTATTATCTGTCTCCCCTAGCTAGAATGTAAAGTTTGTAAGGGTAGGGATTTGGGTCAGTTTTGTTCGCTATGCTCTCCCGGAGCATCTAGAACTCCTGGCACACAGAATGTGCTCCTAGTGAATATAGGAACTAAGGAGGAGACAAAGGATGCAAGAAAAGTCATATCTAGGGCTTTCATATACTGGCTTTTCTTCCGTGGCCATTCATCATATTCTCTTTATGGAGGAATGTTCATAGCTTCGGGATGAAAGAGACAGCCCAGGGACATTCCAGCAGAGAGTCACAGACATGACCGCTTAGCAAACAAGATCCTAAAAGAAAAAAATAAGGGAACTGTAATTTCATAAAAAGGGAAAAAACTAACTGGGGTGATTTAACATCTTATGTTGAAGATGATGCCTAGTTGTTCTCCAGCTCTACTGAGTAGAGAACAGCACCCCCCCCAATAAAAAAAGGTTGGGGGGAGTTAAATCATAACTTAAAGAATTTGGGAGGATATACAAGGAAGAATACAGTAGCAACCACCCTGGCTAAATACTGGATGCAGTGGGTTCATCTCCCTCTGGAAGTTTTTATAGGAGAACGCATTCCCCTTCAAGTCTGGCCCTACTGGACAGCAATGTAGGCAGGGGAAAAGCTAAAACAAGAACGTCTAATGGCCTCACAACAAACCTTCTCGTCCTCTGGCTTGTGTGGCTGGATGTCTGGTCTAAGCCTGGCCTTTTCCACATACGACAAGACTTCCCACCTCACCTCACAAGCTAGTTAGCAACCTGTGGCCCATTCTGGCATTCTGCTCCAGCACAGCTCAATAAGTAAGGTTAAAGTCTTCCTTCAATCTTTTCTCGACCTCCGCCCACTCTCCTACCATGTTTCTCTTTAAAAATTTTGGTATCCTAGCTCCTAGATACAGAGAACAGATGGGTGGTTGCCAGAGATGTGGGATGGGGGTGGGGTAGGCAAACGGATGAAGGGGGACAAAAGGTACCAACTTCCCCTTATAAAAATGAATAAGTCCTGGGGATGTAATGGACAACACGGTGACTATAGTTAATAAGATGGTACTGTATATTTGAAAGTTGCTAAGAGAGTAGATCTTCAACATTCTCACAACACTTCATGGAGCGATCATTTGGCAGGGTATGCAAATGGTAAATCATTATGTTGTACACATGAAACTAGCATAATGTTATAGGTCAATTATACCTCAATAAATAAATAAATATTTTTGGTATCCTGAAACTGTATATGATACCCTGACGTACTGATACAAAACTCATACAAAAATTTTGTAAAACGTTCTAACTATAAAGTAGGGGTTTGTTGAAGGAGTTTTTCTAACTCTGAAAGCACAACAGTCTAAACAATTACATGACTATTCATAAAATAGGCTACTGGGTTTCTACTTCATGCCAGTCAGGAAGTCAAAAGGGGATGGTGTGTAACTCCTAGTCCACTAGAGGATCTGGATAAGAAATAATTGCTGTGGGTCATGATATAAGCTCACACAAGCTAAAAGTGGTAGCCCAAGGATGGTGTGCTAATAGGGAGAATCAGGCAAAATTCCATAGAGAAGCCCCCCACACTGGATCAAACACTTACATTTGCACGCACTATGATAATAACCTTTCCTGTGTTTTGTTTGGAAAAGCCCCCTTTCGATTAATTTGATCTTCAGAGTAAATTAGTGTTCCCTGAAGTATATGATGGTCATGAAAAGGTCCTGCATGGAATTGGCAGCCAGATGTCTAATAGAGTAACATGCAGCCCAAGGATCATTATTGCCAATAAAAAAAAATCCACATGTCTGGTCACATTTAGCAAAGGTTATTTAACAGAAAAGCAGCTTGAATCCACCAACAACCCCATCTGCATACCAACTGAAGAGCATTGCTATACAACAAAACACACACAGTAGGTCCTAATTAATTTCTGGTTGGATTTCATTCTTACATAAATGAATCAATGAATTAAACACATAATATATGCATGTATTTGATAAATGTATACAACCCCCCTTTCATCAAAAAGGCAGTGTATTTGGAGCTTTCTATTAAACACTGCAGATTTCTAAACTATAAAAAAATTTAGAGAAGAAATGAATGATTCATATTAATAGCAAGAATTGTTATGCTAATTGTAAGTTATTTGTGCTCTGTACTATTTTTTGCTTTCTACTGAATAGTCATTATCTTCCTCCATGTTTCTCTTTCAGATCATTTGGAAAATAAAAATGAAGAAGCTGAATAAGGAGATATGGTCTGACATCTGCATTCTGAAGTGTCAACTTAAAGTGACCATGTAAGTCCTGTCCAGCTTCAAAACAAGCAGAGTTATAAAAGTTTGTTCAGGAGATGATGCTGTCAGGAGAAGCTAGGTTGGGCTGCAATAACAAATAGACGCTGCAATCTCGGTTGCTAAACTCAGCAGAGACTCCTTTCTAGGCCACATCATAGATCAGGGACCAGTCTCCTAACATCTTGCAACCCCACCATTTCTAAGACCTTTGAGTCCAGCCCACATGGAGCAGAAAATGAGAATATGTAGAAAGCACATTGGTGGAAGGCACAGATCATTTCTGTTCACATTCCCATTGGCGAGAATTCAGTCATAATTTCCCAAACTCACTGCAAGGAAGGCTAAGAAATAGATTTTCTCAGTGCCCAGGAAAAGGAAATGGATTGGTGAACATGTAGCCAGTCTTTGACACAGGCAGAAAACTCAAAACATACTTTTTATTCAAGCCAAGTTGTATGTTATGGTTAGGTTCCCAAGTAAACCCATCCAAAACGCATCTGAAGAACAGTGCTAATAGTGAACACCTTGAGGATGTAAAATGTCACCTCTCCGGCCATCTTGTCTACCAGGACCAAAGTTGAAAACTCATTAACATAATAGAGGTTCTGCATTCTATACATTCAGCCATCTTTTATTTCACATTTATTATGTCTACCTGTGCTGGGCACTATTCTAGGCACTGAAAAAACAAAGATAAGATCTAGTGATTGCTCTCAGTGGCAATAATGAAACTAACTCCTATGAGACCAAGATAAGAACCAGGGTGTTGGGGCACATGGGGGGCTCAGTCACTTAGGCGTCTGCCTTCAGCTCAGGTCGTGATCTCAGGGTCCTGGGATCGGGTCCCTGCTTCGGGCTCTGGGCGTGGGGAGTCTGCTTCTCCCTCTACCTCTGCCCCTCTCCCCACTCGTGCGCTCTCTTGTTCTGCTCTCTCTCAAATAAATAAAATCTTCTTTAAAAAAACGGGGTGTTTTTAGGAACTGCACATACATCAGTATGGCTGGAACAGAGTGGGCAAGATAAGGGCAGCAAGAGCCCAGGACCAAGACGCTGTGTGCCATGCTGAAAACAATGTGGGCCTTAAATGGGAATCCATTGAAAGGATGTAAGCGCAGAAGTAACACAATCAGATGAGTACTTCTGAAAGACCACTCAGACTGCCGGCTGTATGGAATATGAACTAGGAGGACACGGTCGAGAGGGATGTGACTACTATACAGCTGTCACTGTTTTGCCATCAAGGACATTTTGCTGTAGACACCTTGACCTGGACGTTTTGCACGGGGTAATTTTGAGGCAGTATAAAACAACATATCATTAGGCATTCTCTTTCCATTTTCAGAATGAAAACTGCTTTGTCGTTTATCCTTCTGATTATATGCTCATTGTGAAATATTCAGACAATATAAGGAGGTATAAAGCAAAAGTAAAAATCACTCATAATCCAGTGCCTGGTGAAAACCACTGTTAACATATTCAGTGTCTATGTTTTTATAACTTTCCCCATGCATACTGTTTCTAATAGAAATGTGATAATACCATAAACACAGGTATAACCTGCTTTCTTTGTTTAGCAATAAATTCTGAACATTTTCTCAAAGCAGTAAGCATAGCTATCATAATTTTTTTAAAGATTTATTTCTTTATTCCAGAGAGAGAGAGAGAGAGAACAAGGGGGAAGGGCAGACAGAGAAAGAGTCTCAAGCAGACTCTGCACTGAGTGTGGAGCCCAACCAAGGTTCCATCCCTCCAACTCCAAGACCACAACGTGAGCCGAAACCAAGAGTCAGATGCCCAACTGACTGTGACACCCAGGCACCCCTCACTATCATAATTTTTCATTATGCCATAAAGCATTCCATTGGTTGGATGTTTGTGTATGGTAGTGGCTGAGAGTGTAAGCTCTACATCTGAATTGTCTGGTTTCTAATCCTGGCTCTAAGCTAAGGGTAGAAAATTTTTCTGTAAAGGGCCAAATAAATGTTTTAGATTTTGTGGGCTACATTAGTCAGGGTTCTCCACAGAAACAGAACCAACAAGATATATAGATCTAGACACAGAGATACAGATGTATGTAGAGATAGATAGATCTGTATCTCAGTGTCCATATCCATCTAACTGTCTATAACTTTGTGTCTATAGATATTTCTATTTCTGTCTCTATCTCTTTCTCTATCTATATATTTATATATGGAGAAAGAGAGATAGTTTAAGGAATTAGCTAACATGATTGTGAGGGTCCAGACTCTGCATGCTGGAGACCCGGGGAAGAGTTGCAGTCTGAAGGCAGTCTGCTGACAGAACTCCCTCTTTCACCAGGGCCTGTTGTCTTTTTCTATGAATTGATTGGATGAGGCCTACCCATACAATGGAGGGTAATCTGCTTTACTCAAGGTCTACTGATTCAACTGTTCATCTCATCTGAAAAATGCCTTTACAGAAACATCTAGAATAATGTTCGACCGTATATCTGGGTACCATGACCTAGCCAACTTGACACATAAAATTAACCATCCCATGAGCCACGTGACCTCTACTGCCACCTACTCAATTCTGTCATTGTTGTATGTGATAGCAGACATATACAATATGGAAAGAAATGGGTATGGCTGTGTTCCAACAAAGCTTTATTTACAAGAATAGGGGGCAGGCTGGATGTGGTCCATGGACTGCAGTTTGTTGATTCCTACCCTTAGCTACTTTCTAACTGTGCAACTTTGAACAGGTCATATCAGTTCTTTAAACCTCAGTTTTCTCATCTGTGAGAAATGGGGATGATAATAGTTGTGAATTCAAAGGCCTAACATGAGAATCAAGAGACACCTGTGCTCAATAAATCTTCCCCTATTATTTATCCATTATCTACTGACAGAATTTTTTAAATACCTTTATTAAGATATAACTGACATACAATAAACTGCATATATTTAAAGAATATAATTTGAAAAGCTTTAATAGATCCATACGCTCATGAAATCATTACCACAAAGGTAGTGAATACGTCCATCACCCCAAAAGCTTCATCCTGGCCATTTGTAATCCTGCCCTGGCGTCCCTTCCACCACTCCCAGCCCCCACTCCCACCGCCAAGCAACCACTGATCCGCATCCCTATCTTACTAACAAAATTTGGATTATTTGCAACCTTGCACTATTAAGAATAATGCAGCCATGCACATCCTTGGGCAGATCTCTGCACATGTGTTCACCTTCTTCCTTAGGATAAAATGCCACAAGTACGATCACTAATTTGCAGAGTATGTTCACTTGATAGTGTTATACATGTCGACAAATTGCCTTTCAGAAAGGTACCAATCTGCAACGACTGTTCCTCCCCACTTGTTTTCTATTGTTATATTGACAGTGTTTCTGTATGTGCCTGAGGTAATTCTGTGTGCTCGAGTTGGGAGTGGGAGTGTGGACTCAACATTTCAAGTATCCAGAGATACTTAAACAGCATCTGATGGGCGCCAGTCGAGAATTGACATCCGCAGAGGTGGTGACTTAGCACTTGAGGAATGAAAAGAGGTATTTTGATTGGTGAGGTAAGTGGTGTTCTGTCTAAGAGTGTTGCACGAGCTCTACAACCCTTGTAGGAGCAAGGTGTGAAATCCCAGCCCCGGTGTCTCATGCCGCAGAACCAGCCAGTCACGTTATGAGGAGCAGAGGAGCATCTTCCGCAGAATAAGCCTTGTATCCTCTTTTGTACTGGCTTGCTAACAAGTGTTTGTATGTTGAAGACAATTTGGAGACTTGGGTTTAATATTTAATTCCATAGTAATGAACCAGCCACTAGCAAGTTTGTGAGGGCAGGTAGATATGGCCACCACCCAGCTGTAGTATGTTTACTAAAGGACCCAGACGTTTGCTGGACTGCCAAATTGGTTTAGGTCTGTTTGCAACATCTTTCCTGTCCCTGCCACTCTGACAGGGAGATTATGCCTTATTGTTTTCATTTGCATTTTTATTAATAGTTAGATTATCTTTTCATATGGCTGTTGACTATTTGCCTTCTTTGGTGAATTACTTGTACCTATCCTCTGACCATTTTGTGTTGTTTTTTTTTTTTAAAGATTTTATTTATTTATTTGAGAGAGAGAGAGAATGAGAGAGAGCACGAGAGGGAAGAGGGCAGAGGGGGAAAGCAGACCCCCTGCCGAGCAGGGAGTCCGATGCGGGACTCGATCCAGGGACTCCAGGATCATGACCTGAGCCGAAGGCAGTCACTTAACCAACTGAGCCACCCAGGCGCCCTCCTCTGACCATTTTGATACTGTGGTTTTAAAAGTTTTCTTACAGGTTTGTAAGAGATTTTATTATATTAAGGACATTAGTCTTCTGTCATATGAGTTCCACATGTTTTCCCATTTGTCAAATGTTTTAACATTGTTTATGGTGTTCTTTTTCTGAAGTAGCAAAGGTTATCAATATTTTTCTTTATGGTCTCTGGCTTTGGTTCATGCTTAGAAATTTCTCCCCCAAGAATATATAAATAATCACATAAATTTTCTTCTAAGGGTAGGGATGACTGTTTTACACATTCCTTGGGAAAAAACATGTAACAGCAGAAAGTTTAATGGTTTGTAAAAAGTAGTACTCAGAGGTTTAAAATTGCCTTTCTGATGGGACGATAAAGTAGTAAAAATGGTTTTTGGTTAATTTCTGAAATTTGGCCTTCTTCCTTACAGTCTCTGTCTCTCTTTTTCTCTCTCATATATCCTTCTAAATAACTAATTCAAAATAGAAGGGGAGATAAGCTCGTAAGCTACAGGAGGCAGAGGACACAAGAATACAGACATAGAACCCTAACCTTCACCAGTGAGACACACCTATGCCAGACTTTGAATCAGAAGCTGGTGACCCTTCCACCAACTGTTGGATTGTAAAATAAAAAATACATTTAAAAATACAGATAAATTAAATTTTTAAATAAGTAAATCAATAGAGGTTGAGATAAATAGAGAAGCCGGCACTGCCCGAGTCACTGTGACAGGGCAGCAGCAGATATGCCCAGTTTCCAGAAGCATCGGTGGCAGAGTTCCCAACAGTGGTGCCCCTCCCGCTTGTGCTCTGTCAAATAAATAAATAAATCTTAAAAAAAAAAAGAGAGATTGGATCTGCCATACCTCCCATCCCCCAAATCCATCCTGTTCACAAATGGTCAAATACTGTGAAATTCTTATGAGTTACATATTAGGGGGAAGGAGAGATACCCATTCTCTGTCGGTACTGAAGCTGCAGCACCCGGGGTAGCAGGAATCCGATATCCTTGTAACCAGCTTTTTTTTTTTTTTATTCTTATGTTCATCCCCATACATTACATCATTAGTTTTAGATGAAGTGTTCCATGATTCATTGTTTGTGCATAACACCCAGTGCTCCATGCAGAATGTGCCCTCCTCAATACCCATTACCAGGCTAACCCCTCCTCGCACCCCCAGCTTTTTAAAAAAATTGACCACTGTGCTAACGTTATACATCAGAATATTCTGTATATGCCTGAAACTGACTCCGTGCTTATGGCCCTGAAGCCATCTCTTGCCTGAGATCCTGGAGGACACTGGGGCTATTTGTATCCAGGGAACTGGGACTCTATCGTAGAACATGCTAGAACATGCACACACACATATAATTAAGACATCTGGTTACCTTCTGTTGAAAATATGACTGATTCTTTTAGCCTAAAATTATTCATTTAAATGTGGGCCGTACCAAGCTGTAATTTTTTTTCGGACAAAAGTCATAATCCATTCTTAAAAGACATTAAATAAAAATGTATGGAAAATATGTGAAAAATAATTGTCTTGCCTCAACAAGCATACCCTTACAACAAACTGCTAATGATAATACATATTAGATGTTGGGAAAGCTCATGAGAAGATTATTTTCTAATAGAAGCTGTTTAGCCTGTCCTACCTCTAGGAAATTGACTTAAGGGTGAGGTAATACTTTAAGTAAACAATTTAGGAGGCCTATCCAAATTGCTCAAAGTGCTTTGCAGACATGAGCTAATTCAGCCTTGGAAATAAGTTTGCGTAATGGGATTCATGTCTATGGTTTCCTTTGAAACTGTTTCGTAGGCGGTGGTTTGTTGAGGGAAAGGTATCGGTGGTAACGCAGGCCCATCCCCAACCTCAGGGCATCTTTGGGGATCCAAAGACAATCCTCAACTTCTGTGGGCAGACTTCCTCGTTATATCATAACACCTTCCTGCCTCCGACTCTTGGGTCTTCAAATTGAGGAAACAGTTGTGGGGAACCGCATATGGGGGAAAACACCTTGAGGGAAAGGAAGCTGGTGACTGTTGTGTTTTCTTTTTTTTTTTTTAAGAAAAAAAAAAAAACCATCCTGAGACCACACAAACTTGGGCTATTTCAGCCATTACCTACTCTGAACTTCAGAGCTCCCAGTAACACTAGGGATTAAGTTGAATGAAAATGGTGATTTGGCTCCACCCCGTCGTAAGACCCGCTAATGGATTCTCCCAGCACTCCACTTTGAGATGGTTCATCCCCACTGCGGTGGCAGCCTAGGTGCCCGCCCAGATCCCCCCTTCAGGACTGAGGGACAGAGCCTCCCAGCTGTTGGCAGGGCCGCTGGTGCTGGCTGACAGCTCAGCCCCTCTCTGGGAATCACAATGATGAGCTTTCTCATCCAAAGCTGTGCCCCCTTCCTGGGAGCAGCCTGCATCCAATGACTGGCCAATGAGGGGTAGGTACAAGGTCCCTGTTCCCTGACCTCAACGTAGGACGACTCTGGAGGGCCACCCCAGGTCTAGAGCTCACTATACAGGTGGCTGAGGGGTGTGCGTCACACTTTAACTTCTCCCTCTGCCCAGCCCTGCTGCTCTCAGTCCCCCACAGGTGTATCTCCCTAGAGAACTCCTCGGGGGAACTTCCTGTCCACTAGTCTCCATCCTACAGCCTGTTTCCAGGGAACCTGACCTAAGACACAGCCATTTTAAGTCCAAGGCTGCATTTAGAAAAGTCAAAAAGATAATTTTGCAGGTCTGACCAATTTAATTCTTTTACATTTTTATTGCCTATAATTAACTCATCTCTGAGGGAAATACTGACTAGCCTTGAACTTTGCTTTATGATTACTGCAGGCATGGCCTGGTGCCAAATAAAGGTTTAGTTCAGGGTTAGCAATCATATAAGTACCGCAAAGGCAGCAGAATGAGAGTTGGACACTAAGGGTTGTTCATGCATTAACTCCTGAGGGAATTAATGTCAAACGCGACTTGAAAAAAGAAGGAAAAGAAAGTCAGAGAAATAGTTAGATAAATCAATAAATAGGTACTGAGCACCTACAGTATAAGCAATAGGGTCCCAACAAAGAGGAAAAAACAATATGCCCGCCCCCCCTTGTGAAGACCACAGTCTAGCTGGGGAAACAAGCAGATACACTATTAGAGAAAGTGTGGTAGTTTGTAAAGGGGGATATATGGAGGGCACCATGACAGTCCATAGCAAGAACGCCTAACCCTGCCAAGTGTAGGGTTAGGACAGGAGAAAGAAGAAAAGGAGTGTCTTTATGGAACAAAATAAACAATCATGGCCAGGGGAAAAGAGGCCTTTAAGAAAGCTAATCCAAGGAAATCATAATCTACAAGGCAAAGGAAGGAATTTGAAGGAAGCCATTCTATTTATAAAGTCAAAAAATTGGAAACAACCCAAATGCTCAACAATAAGGGAGTGATAATAATAGAATATTATGAAGTAGTCTAAATGGAAATAATGAGCATTATGTCCATTCATGGAAATGTGATGTGAAATGTTAAATGAGTAAAGCAGAAATGGGCCACGCTCACTGGGTGTGACTATATGAAAATATGTGTCTTTATAAACAATGACACAGAAAACTGTGTACCAGAGGAACAAGAATTTCATGTGTCACGTTGCCTTTCGGCCGCTTTTCCCCTATTTGAGTATGTCACCTTTCTGGCCTAATTTTTTTTTAATGTCTCCTTTTCCCTGTTATGAAAGCCTTATACATGCGTGCACCAGCCTAGAAATGTGTTTTAAGTCTTTCAGAAATATTCCAAAATTCCTGCTCTTTACTACAACAAGAAAAAATAGCAAGATCACCCTGAGGAATGACCAGCATTTTAGACTGTGGATCTTTGGCCTAGAGGGAGTTGAACATTTGGAAATGACAGAAAGGATATACCTATTTTAATAAACAAGAGAGTTACAACCTTTTTGGAAAACCTCCTCAATAACATAGATGAATAGCTTTTTTCAAGTGCATATTTTTGATTCAGTAATCTAATTCTAGGCTATACCTAGTGGTATGGTGGCAAATCTTTAACAACCAGGTCTCAGGGGGGAAAGCCTTGGATGACCAATTCCAAGTTATCAATGTGATGTTAAGAGATATGAAAACATGTCAACACGAAGACTTGTACACGAATGTTCATAGCAGCACTATTCATAACAGCCAAAAGGTAGAAACAATCCAAATATCCAGTGAATTGTGATACATACATACAATACTACTCAGCAACAAAGAGCTATGAACTGTTGATACAGGCAACAACAAGGATGAATGTTGAATGAAAGAAAGGGACAGAATGAAAGTATATATCGGATGACTCCTTTTATATACAATTCTAGAAAATGCAAATTATTGTGACAGGAAGTTCATCAGTGATGGTTTGCAGATGGCAAGGAGGC